ATTTATTTAATGCTGTCTTGACTGTTTAGTATGTAAACAACAATGCGAGTAGCCATGCAAACGAGCAATCAGCACCACGCAACCCACAGGGTTCTGTATGTAGGGTGTGAGCCTGATGACCTCACGTGTGTTCTAGTCAATTGCTGGACATGTTTATTGGACCACGCATGATCATATAAACATGTCAGAATTCAACGGCAAAACGTCACAATTTCAAAATCTCGAAATATGTTTGATTTACCACACTGGAATTTATTCACTGTCGGCGATCTACTCACATATGTTTCTTAATAACGCAGAATAATAGTGACTAATAACTCGATTCAATGTCGAGCTTGCCTTTGATCTGGCTGTGAATATCATTATACAAGGCATTCCTAAATGATTGTTTAACCGATTTCACATCGTACATAACATCTACCCAATCCAGTGTCTTGATTCGAGAATGATTTCACTGTAGCCTACCGTCACGTACTTTACACTCTAATCCGTCAATTCTCGAGATTTGCTTTTCACTTCATCTTTTCTTAGTCCTGTTCGGTTTCAGTTAAGAAGTAACCTTTTGGGGGTTATTGCAAAATAGATAGAGGCCATTGACCACACGAGCAAATACAATATCATTTACTAGTAATTATACTGAGATTATTATACAAAGAAAAGGTTGAAAATACAGAAATCGATTCAGCTCGAAAACTAAATTTGAGGAAAGTGAAATGTACAATGTTGTCACAATAATGTTAAATTATCTTTTTGAGGCAAAGTGAAAATGATAAAACATAAACGTTTCCGAGGCCTTTTTTCAACGCAATTTACAACGACATACGACACGACACGGTGCGGTGGAAAGCATATTGAAGCAGGTAATTTCGTGTGAAAACAGGGGCGGAAATCGAAAAAAGCCTACTAAAAGAACAATAAGAACAATTTCCGATGTGTAACTACAGGTGGGTTCACGACACGCTTCAATAACACATTTCTGACACAAAACATGATTCGTAGTTACCCAGTATACACAAAAAATCACTAAAATTATATTTTCTAACGCCTTCATTTGTGATTTTATTTCCGAACATCACCATATCCCGAGACCAGCACGACGATGAGCAGTCCTTTTAATTTTACAGTATTTTGATTGAAATCTAGTTGAACATTAAAGTGCTACAATTGCTGCTCCGCGTCTTGTTCGACGTGGGACCCATGGCAACGTACACGATCGAGTTCATTCGTCACTGAATAATGTAGCCGAGACAAAATGTTGTGCCGGTTTTTTTAATTAATTAGCAAACATTGAACTAATCTTTGACTACAATTATATTTTTATTTAATGTCTGCTCTTAATTCACACCGAAAACCAAAGAATTATTATAGAACTATATGGTTTGTGCCACAGTCGATTTTGTTACTTAGAATATGTTTGAAATTGACTTTTCTCGTGGAATAAATAAATAAAACTCCAACACAATTGAATAAAGACCAAACACGAAGGGTTTCAACAGTTGTTGTTCAATACGCACAATTATTAACACTAAACTTGTCACATGCTAGTTAAACTGTACGAAAATTGTGAATTATCAAAAAAAAAAACAGCAACATATTCCTCATAACAACAAATATGATCGCGCAATTTGTCACGCTTCTCATTTTAAAGTAAGGGATGTCAAAAGGAAAGAAGTCATTATCTCAATTCACGCGACATAATCTTTACATTAAGTCACGTAGGTATCAACAAATAATACTGTATATGTATTCATCCTTAGCACGTAGGTTTTGAATAGACTATAATATCACTTTCCCGTTGCTAGTCATTATACAGCAAAAATAAAATAGTGCTAAATTTGCTGGAAACATACAGAAAAAGTGAAGCCAGTTATTAAACACAAACGTTTCAGGCATTTTTCGGACAATACAACTACTGAAGTAGGCAACGGTGCATAGGGAAAGGGAAAGAAATCTAGGAAACGTCATCTACAGGAGAAAAGAAAAAACGGAAAAGTTACTAGGTGACCTTGAAACACTACAGCACCACACTATTAAGCCACAGCATATTTATTTACCGAGATGATTTTATTTTTCATTTGTCTAGACAGTAAACACTTTAGCACCTATCTTGCGTTTTGTGTATTGTTAACTTTGTTAAACATTGTCTTATAAAATTTAATTTAAGAAGCCACAACAGCAAAGAATGGTCAGAGAAGGGACGTTTATCACCAATGGAGGATCGTTCATTCTCATGCCCAGTTTTGAGGTAGGATAATGCTTTCTAAGTCCCTTGTTTGAAAGTAATATATTTACAATCACGTGTCCCCAAAATATCATTAACACTAAAATTGTGAATACAACCACGATATAAACTACCTTCATGTGCAAGACTACCACCGCTCTAACAATTAACATCACTATTAAACTTACCAACAGTATTACCACTATCATAACTAACATTATTTACCACGACTATCACTGGTAATACTATCACTATCATGACTACCATGATGACAGTCGCCAACAATTTTACCAACAATACTATGCCAATCATAACTACCATAACTACCATGCCTACCACCACTCTGATCAACATTACTACCACTACCATGGCTATTATGACAACCACCATTCCCGCCAGCAGTTGTACCGCTATAACAGCTGGAAGGGAGAAAAGAAGACACTGAAAAAATTGGCAAAACGGAAACAGATAATGATGATGATGAGGAGGAGTATGTAGAGAATGGGGATAAATGTACCCATTAATGATGACAAGATTGGGTTTCATTCATTCCCAAATGCTGACTTATCATGTAGAGCAGCAAAAAGGGTTTGCCACTCCTGCCTGTTCCATTCTAGCTTCTGCATGGTTTCCAAGGTGTGATGAAAGGTTCTCAGCTTCGTTTTTTGTTTTATGTACAAAAACGTTCTATGCATAATCCATATGTAAATACTAATGCTGTATGAGTGGAGGTGCATAGAATGACGAAATGAAGACATACAGAGAAACTAGCATGGATACCATAAAAACCAAACGATCGCCAGTTATTTTTTCATCTAAAATACGTGTTATAGTCGATAGTTGGTCATTTGAATCTCGAAAAACACGACGTACACCTCTAAACCAATAAGCAT